ATGACCCTGGATGCAGGATTTCCGTCCGGTTTGCTGATAGTGCTGAACAACGGGAGCTAAGGGTCGGTTCGCTGATTGAGACGTGTTTTACTTTGAACTGATTCATGCGTCTTGCGTTAGCGATCAGAGAGAGTATCCAAGAATGGGGACCAGTCTCCAGCCCGCTTGACAATCGCTCAAGCTGCCCTTCTCAACCTTCGTGGCCAAGAGCTCCAAGCTCACGCTCGCAAGACCCATGTAAATCGTGCCCGTGACATCCCCATCATTGGTCAGCCTCGCGACGAAATTTCTCTATCAAGTATTCATCACTCCTATCCGAATCTGAATCCCCCCTCCGTGTCAGCAGGGAACATTCCCATATCTACGTCTCTGCCAGGGCATCTGGGTTATCCATACGACAGTTCCCCGTCGACTAGGTACCAAGACCTTCAGTCGAATCCCTATACTGATGACTTTCTGCATTCACTGCAACACAACCTGAATTTGACACACGCTTACACGGGGTCGACACTTGACCAAGAGCATGACGCCCATCGCGCCCATCTTCAAGCCCTTGCAAATGCAACGCTGTACACGGCTAGCGCCCAGCCATCTGCACAGCAGCCTCGCAGCCAGATACAGGCGAGGAACGGCTTCACTCCCGCAGAGGAGCTCATCCTCCAGGCTCACGCGAGGATACGTGAACAACAGTACCAACAGCTGCAGACCCAACAGCAACTTGTGCACCCACACGATCTCACTCTCCCTCGGCGCGCCTCTTCATCTGGACGATTAGAATCTGGAAGCAAACTCAATGCGAATGCACAAGTATTCCACGCCCCGGAGCAGATCGCCACTTATCCGCTCACTAGTCGAACCCTGGGTGGGGCAAACCGGTCGAAATTCTTGGGCGACGCTCTACCGCCAATTTCCGAGGACGACTTCCATGCTCTTGGCCAACATCAGCTGGAGTCCAGGTCACATCATGACCATCTCCGCACTCATTATCAGGACGAGCTGCATTTCCGCAGTGACGCTGGCAACGTCAGGATCACGAAACCGCCTAGTCGTGCTATCGAAATTGTTGCGCCACCTCAGCACCTTGATTCCAAGTGTTCTCCTTTGCAGTCGCACCATCGTTCTCAGTTCTCTTCGCGTTCACACCTTTCTCTGCGGCAGCAAGCACAAGTCGCTACTCTCCCTCGTTCCCCTCTCGCATCGAATTCATCTCAGCACAGTTATCAGCACACGGACAGCCGCTCCAATAACCTAAACAGCACTATCGCTACGTCCAGTACCAACGATAAACCCGACAGTGGTCCGCAGAACTATCTTCACTCCCCCCAAACATCCCAGCCCCGGTCAGATGATCAAGAGGACCATCGCCACAAGTCTACTTCTGTGTCCTCTAAAGCATACGTTCCTGTGCAGAAGTCGCCTTCTTTGGTCCAACAACTATCATTCGAAAATGACATAAGGTCTCCTACTCTCGTATCTCCGGCGCTAACTTACTCGTCTCGCACCTCATCTACTCTCAGTCCGGCTACTCCTTTCCTCGGTTCATTCAACGGCAGCCCAGAGAATTTCGAGTACACGCCGAACGATAATGGGATAGTGGAGAAGGTGAAAGTCGGGTCAGGTACGCACTAGCTCGTCGTTCTCGTCCAGTGACAGTTTCCGGTGCATGTTATTTTCCATTGTGACGATTATAGTACCCTTTAGCATGATGTAACGTACAAGATTGTTTCTTTCGTTTTCGGTTGATGTTCCCGGATAAGTATATTTTGATAACCATTATGCGCGAGTACGAATAGTTTTGTACCTACGCACTCTTAGTATTTCTTGAGATACAGCAGATATGTCTATGTTCCTCATCGGCCTGATCGCACGTGTAGTACTAATAGCTATATCAGTGGTGTCTATGGTATGCCATACGCGGTGATATGAATCACTGTTAGTTCAGCGCTCAGCGCTCAGCCTCCATTGGGCAGACTGACATGTATCACAGTGCCCCTCAAGTTCTCAAATTACTTTGGGCTTCTGGTCTATCGTCTTGCGTAGGTCAATATCGTCAGGCCCCTACAGTGAATTCATGTAGGCTGGATAGCGCCTTCGAGGTGGGATATCCCGTAGTAGCCTACAAAAGTAAAAGTAAAGTCGCAAACAATCATTCAACCAGCTATTGACGAAGTTTGGACATTCAGCGTTCAAATTTGAAAGTTTCATAGATTCATGTACGCGTGAAACGTACTGGTGCGTAGCGAGGCAAGCCCATATACACATATCGTATGCCGCTTAGCTTGATCCCAATACACACATAGGGCGACCCGCGTGACGGTTTCAACTCAAATGTATGTCTGTGGGCAGAATAAAGTATCCGGAGCCTCAGAGTAGTGCTGCAGGTGTGTAGCCTATATATATATACAAAAAGCTTCAAAACACCCATGATCGACTGTATCATAAACACATACGTACCATTACCGAGATCAACGTATCAGGATGCTGTGTAACATAGTTGAACGGATCACTGGCAAGCGCCATGGTATTGTAACATCTGAGTCTCTTGGGACGATCATCGGACGTCGTCGAGGAGACCCAATTGTAACAAAGTCGTATTTTTAACTTTCCTATATTCCCCCTTGATCCTGGCATCGCACACATGCTATCATGCCCAGCGATCATCTCTGTGCATGGGATAGTCATAGATACAATATAAATACACAGGGAAGAACGTTAATGCACCGTGGCGTTGATGGCAACTTTGATGTTTCATGTTTCAGCAAGAAATCGAAACGTTGCCACTGAGGCTAGCTTTGTAAAACTACCGCATCGATTCCTGTGACCCTGATGATATGTATATAATAATGTTGTAATAGCCTGAGTGCGGCAGGCATTCTCAACACCCACCTTTTATATTGCATCATCGCCTCGTTGTAATGGATATCACTGAAAAACAGCAGTTGTGAGTCATACGCGCACGAATATATTCTTCTTGACATCATAATCTATCAGGTTATTTCACTTGAACGCTGTTCTCGTGGCAAACAGTACCGAGACTCTCCATCTTTGTTTTCAGGACGATAACAAATATCATAGGCATTCTGATGTACGATCATATAGTGACCCTCCCAGAAGAAATCGCGTTTATTTGGGGTCGTCCGAAATTACTGTCTACAACATTGTTTCTTGCCAATCGCTATCTTGCCCTGGTGGGCAATATCTTTGGCTTGTTTATCGATTTCCTACCCGCAGTTTCGGATGAGGTTCGACAATTTTGTTATGCGTCTACCCAGATGGCAGGCTCACGATTTATCTATTTTTGCAGAGGTTTCAACCCTTCTTTGAATATATATTGTTGTTTTTCTTACCAAAGTTTTAGCTGTTCAAGATATATGCTAGTCAGAGAGCTGTTCCTTTATCTCCAACAAATCATTGTTTGCGGTGAGTCAAAAGTTGATCGCGAAAAATACATGCCCTGAAATATTTCAGTCATATTGACTCTGCGCGTTTACGCACTGTACGGTCGTAGCAGGCGCCTGCTCAGTTACATAGTAATCATCGGTCTTGCTCTTATGGGAGGAGCATCAGTACGTGTTCGCATATCCTTTTGCACTCCAGATTCTGCTGACCTTTTAGGCGGGTTCTTTTGGAAATAATTCAAATACTACGATTTACATCCAAGGAAGTGATTGCCATAACACATTCACAGCAAAGATGTATGTCATTCCCTTCATCGGTATGCGTGCCTGCTCAAAAGTCGCGACAGAGCCATGCGTCAGTGAATTCTCAGCCACGTTGCATGCAAGTTGATGATGCTACTACCTTATCTACTTGCAGGTTATGGACTGGCTTGGATTGCAGTTTTTGTCTTCGAATTACTTATCTTTGTCCTTACAGTCTTCAGGACTTGCAAGACTAGGGGATCTCCGCGGTTGATTCCATCCAGCAGAAATATCATTGATATCATATTCCAAGATGGTATTTCTTTCGTTGCACCTGTAGTGTAAATTCTGAAACAAGCAAATGCAGGTGCAGTGTATTTCGCGTAAGATTGATTGTGAAACTGTGATTCAAGTGAAACTGATCTGCGTTGATTTAGAGCAATGACATTGATCAATCTACCTAACATCCTGACATACTATGTAAGTCAACAGATAATATATCAATCGAGTCGCACACTCACCATGATTTAGTGTGGTTCGGTGAGCACGCACTGCATCTTACGATCGGCTTGGCTACTTCCTGACAATTGACAAGGATATCACCAGAGGGAATCTAGCCACATTTACTAGTTGGTGAGTGGTTGATGCGATAAACAGACGTCGATTTTGAATCAGATACCTAGCATGTCCGTCACTCTCGTCTCTCGACTGGTGCTTCACCTGCACAAATCCACGGATGACGGAATTTCATCCACTGCCATCCGGAACGATGGCTCCAGCCCCAATGTCTTTACCACCAGACTCGATGTCGAATTCTCTTCTCACAGTTTTCAAACTGATTCTGGCTGATTGGATATTGTTCCTGGTTGCGAAATTTCTTCGCTTTTAGTTAGCGTGTTGTAATTTTACAGACGATATGTAGAAGAATTCATTTTGATGATTACCATGGATATTTTACCAATTCCCAGCTGGCACCTAACGCGGTGAATGCATTGAAGTTCGAGGCATAAGTCCTACTCAATAACGATTTTATTTAACCATTTTATCCCCGACTCCCACGAAGTGGGAGAAGGGTTTTGTCAGACGCAAACATGCTCATTTTTCTGTCAATGGACGTGTCGTGGGAATTGATTACGTACATAACTGAGACATTACGATTCACTGTCTTTGTTCATTTATTTTCACCGCCTTCAGCCTTCTCCGTACTCTCGACCCAATATTGCCTATCGTCTTTTTTTACCTCCGGTGCCCTGTGGTGGGACTCGTACATTGTGATGTTAGCTTAGGCCTGACTGACTGTTATATCCATGAATGGGAGGACTTAGACGAGCCCATGAGAATTCGCATGGAAATTGTGAGAGTACAAGAAACGATCAAGGTATTATCGGAGTATCGGAGTCGGGGACTGGCGCTCGCCGCCGCTACGATTTCGTAAGCATGATGACAGACAACAAATAAAATAGGCACGTTATTGAGTAGTCATTTTATTTGCCATTTTATTTTGCACTCGGCATACTGTATCGAGTACGGAGTTTGATATGAGAGAGAGCTGCCGAAATGCCGACTGGGTGCAACTAAGTACGAGTGCTCAACATCGCAAACACTGATGCCAACATGGACCAGCAAGAAAGCACATACGGTCACCACAACACCCCAGAAAATATGCTGCCCATGTACGATCAGTCGATGGGGCAGATATGGGACCTTCCCATGATGCCAGAGTGGCCATCGTTCATTCTCCAGCCTCAGAGACTGGAACAGCTCGAAGAATTGTTCTGCTTTCTGTTGGTCATATGGCCCGCGTGGTCCATACTTAGCGCCTCGTTGTTTCGCATCGAGTGCTTGCAGTGAAATTGTGGCTGCAAATAGTTGGTCATCCGGTGTCTCTGCATCGGCCAGTAGGATGACAGCGAGTGCTTCGAGAAACGTTATGGCGTGCGGGGAACTATCTGCCATGGTGGCGTGAACGTGTTTCGACGACGCATGCGCCGGTGAGCACAGTCCAAACGCCTGCGCCTCGCTTAGCAGATTTCAAGCGCCACTATGTGCGTGCCGAACGTGTCGCTTGTTCATTTCATTGGCATTTTATTTCGGAGGCATTAGCACGAACTGTCACGAAATAAAATGGCCAAATAAAATCGTTATTGAGTAGGGCTATATGTTCAATCAGTAGACCTGTGCACGCTGCAACTAGCGGAGTTATATCATAGAGTACGAGCGGAACTTACCGAAAAATATGACCGTCGGACATGTTCGCTTCCCCAGAATGAACCGATATCTTTCTATCCTAGGACCTAGGCATAAGAACTTGTGACTATTCTCAACAGAACGTGCAAGATACACCTGGTGGACGTAGCTTGACAAGGCAGTTACCACTATCCGATTCCGAATTCTGGACCGCCGATCAGTGTACTGATTTGCGCTAGTGCTGCACTGCGTGTCCTAGTCAAGGCCCCGTTTTACTGGGTGTGATCACCCTTACTGGGTACAATGGATTACTGATGGATGATTGATGACTGTGGAGGAGTCGGGCTGTGTAGTATAACACCAATATCAAACCGTGAACGTTCCTGTCAATCTCAAGTTTCAACACCCCTTCCACTTGTGATATCGTCTTTCTAATGTATATTACTGACCTGGAAGCGCAGCAGGTGTGAGTGATAAACCCATTGGTTTACTATGTATGTTGATTGCGAATTAATATTCCAATTTGCCAGGTCGGTGCACCTGTACATCCTTTTCGCATCATTCAGTAATACGACTTTTCATCCTATGTCTCAAGACGATAACTGAATACTTTAGGTCTCCTGATATACGACCACATGGTAACCCTCCCAGAAGAAATCATGTTTATCTGGCGTCGTCCAAAAGCAATGTCCGCAGTGTTATTTCTCGTCAATCGCTATGTTGCCGTGCTCGGAAATGTCTCTGACCTAATTGGCAATTTCCTACCCGTTTCACCTGAGGTGCTACATCAGTGTTGTGCGTGTATTCGACCGGCAGGCTCACTTTATCTCCGCAGAGGTTTCAACTTTGCTTTCTTGAATATCTATTATTTTGCTCAACAAAGACTTAGCTGTTCGGAATACCTGGTGGCTGTAGACGTGTTACGTTTTTTCCTGCAAGTTTTCATTTGTCGTGAGTTAGAAGTGTATCGCGAGAAAGACACGCTGAATGTTTTCAAATTCCCAGTCACACTGGCTCTTCGCACTTATGCTCTCTACGGCCGCAGCAGGCGCCTGCTTATATGGATGGGGATCATCTCCCTTGTTCTTCTGGCAGGAGCGTTAGTACGTGCTCACGAAGAATTTTGGACTGGAGAGTCTGCTGAACTTCAAGTTTTAGGCAGGAACTTTTGGAGATGACTCAGACGCTGCGGTCTACGCCGGCGACTGCCATCAAATATATACGACAGCAACGTATGTTATCCCCTTCATCATTCCACATGCCTGCTCAAAAGTCCTGCCAGAACTGTCCGTCAGTGCATTCTAAGTCATATCTGGATGTATATTGATGGTGCTACGGAATCATCCAATCGCAGGTCATGGGATGGCATGGGTGGCAGTATTTATCTACGAATTGCTCATCTTTGTCCTCACAGTCTTCAGGGCCTGGAAAACTAGAGGATTGCGGTTCTCCCTAATATCCAGGAGAGATCTCATAAATGTCATATTTCAAGATGGTATGTTTCGTCGCACCGGTATTGTAAACACTGAACCAACCGAGCATAGGTGTGATGTACTTCGCGTGAGAGTGCTAGCGACACTGCGAGTGAAGCTGATCTGCTTTCTCTCAGAGGGATGACATTAATCAATTTACCCAATATTTTGACGTATTTGGTAAGTCAGCGAATAAAGTATAGTTCAGTCGCACACTCACCATGATTTAGTGTGGTTCAGTGAGCATACCCGCATGTTTCACCAGGTTGACTATTTCCTGACGTTTTGCAAGGAAATCATCAGAGGCAGCCTGAGTG